AAGGCTATAAGCTCTGTCGTGCTTATTTTTTACAGTTTTCTAAATGCACTTCATTCTAGGGCATTACTAGTAGCTGATGCAGGTGAAGAGCTGCATCTAATCTTCTGTTTAAAATATCTAATTTCAACTGAAATAGTCAATAAGGATTTTAACTCTTCTCTCTGGCCCAAAAAATCCAAACAAAAAAAAAAAAAAAGAAGAAGAAAACAGAGCAAATGAAACTTCTTCGTAAGCCAAAGAAGTTAAAAATATCTGTGACTTGTTAGTCTCTTACATCAGTTTGTTTTGAACACCAGAACTAACTGGAACATCAAAACATATATGGAGAAACTGTTTTTTCCAAGTGTTACAAACACATGCATGCTTTTAACGCATCTGAAAACCTGCTGCACCCACCCATTCTGTGTTTATTTGAATCGCTTTCTATTTCAGTCCCTATCAACTACAACTTTATTGTCAACCATAATTCACACAGCAAAAACGACAAATTTGGTAATTCCTATACAAGTCAATCCACAAGAGTTTCAAGTAAGATAAACAACATGAAGTAAACAAAGCATTATGTATTTATTATCATCATGACTGAGATGTTACAGGACAGAATTATTTTGATGCATGATAAAAAAGTTAGATATACTGCATTCACATTCCCGCCCTTCCAAATCTTAACTGCTTCAAAAATTTCTTCCAAGAGACTTGACTTACAAATTAAGTACAGAAAAAACAGTAAAGTTCTCTGCTATTATTATTTTTTTTTTTTAAAAGACAATTATTCTTCACAAGGAAAAAAAAAAAGAAAGAGGGTCTCAGAGTTGCAGTTTCTACTTTGGGTGGCCTTGTAGTCTTGTCTTTCTCACAAACTCTGAATTCAGAGTTTGTGAACTTATTAAGTACATCCAAAGTCTAGATGTCTAAAGACATCATCTAAACATGGGCCAGAAAGCTTCTGCAAACATCCGATTCAGCCAAGGCAAGCTCAGATACTACATCACTTTCAGTATGCTCTCCCCGCTGCCAAACTGACCTGTGACTTTTCTGGTGGCTCAGCTATTTCCCCTAGTAACACGTCACGCAGGACCTAATCTGGTATCACATGGCCTTGAATCTCCTCAGCTTCTGCCTGAAACATAAATAATGTTTATTTGGATACAAGCATTAGTTCCCTAGCCTTCACATAATTTTTTTTACATGTATATGTGTGTTTTTAAAAACACAACAAAACACAAAGTGAAGGCTGAGGGACAGGAATATCCACAGCCTGCCTAGAACTTGTAAGGCTATTGAGAATCATAGTTACGAGTACAGTAGAAATAGGTGTAGCTATAGTCTATTTACTGAAGTTTATTTATTGACTTGCACACTACTAGAAATTTTCCTTTGGGATTACTACAAAAAATTAATCTTGGCACTAATTAAGTTCGGCATTTCTAGGTTGAACATTGATTTATTGGCTTAGTTTAGACAATTTTTCTTTTTGGTGATTCTCCACTAATGAAGAAGTGCCTGTTCAACTTGGAAATACATCACATCATCGGTCAGGATTTGGTATTAATCGTGTGAAATGTATTCCTTTTTGGGGCTGTGGTCTCAAAAGCAGTCTCAGCTAAAGAAATAAACGTGATAGGAACAAGTAACTTCCTGAGAAGGTATTATTCTTAAGTGGCATTATGAACTACTTCATAGACGCTGCAGTTTCATAATTTCACATAGCATTGTGGAGCTAGTAGTTCAGCTCAGACTAGACATTCAATACAAGAGAATAAGCTCCCATCCTGAAAATATATATAAAAATTAATAAAAGTAGTCTATGAATGGGCTCTTGGTTGAAAGAGCTACCTCCTACTTAAACCGACCAACTCCTTAAACTTTTGTAGACGCTAACTGAACAGTCTTTGAAGCAGCATGAAGTTTTATTTAAGGGTAGGCTTTAACATATTGTCAGCACAGGAAACATTACATACAAAGCTGTCATCTACAACGCAATCAAAAATTACATAAGCTGTAGAGAATAAGTTGTCTGATAAGGTTGCTCTGTTAAAATTTGGACAATCACATAGAAAAACTCCAGAAATAAAGCTTTATTAAGCCAGTACTGTAATTATCCATCAACTTCGGAAGACAAATCTTTGAATGCTTTTACCAACAAAGACAAGCTGTAGCATAATAAAAAGTAGAAAGAAACTGAGGAATGCACAGGTAACTTGAATAACTACTCATTTTAATAAACATCTTATTTTATGTTGACATTCATAGCTTATAGAACTATTCCATAGCCATTTTCTAGACATTTACTTTTGCAGACGATGTCTCACTGGTCATCACCCCGTCCATTATTATCCCATACACGCTATGGCTGTATACTTCTTCATGTACTCACTCAGCTCATTTCTACTACAGGTTTTTACTAAAGCTGTGGAGAACTTATCCTAGGAGGTTCTACCAGAAGCTTCTTAGAGCCTTTAGATAAAAAACAAACACTAGTTGAGAGGCTTATATTTCACATGCCAGAAGTGAACACAACTACCCGGGCAGATGATTTAAAACAATAATTGATATAGAAATAATACATGTTGATAAAGGAACACAGATCTTACTATGTCTCTTCACTTTGCAGTTCATTTTTATAATTTCTGTTTTAATAACGCAACAGCCAAGAATCAAAGGGCTTACTTTTGTAAAGCTAGTCTATTAATGCCAATCCTTTTGCAACCTGCTACAGTTTAGAGCATAAGAAATTGGCCTAGCAAAGTTAATACTAATGTTACAAATTAAACTCTACATATTCAGCTGAAGAATCCCTTGAATACTCTAGTGTACTCTGCAGGAATACCAAGGAAAACATCTACCTTTCAGAAGACCCGTTGTAGTATTCCCAGATATTTGCTGCACTTCCATCTTGCAAAAAAGAAGCAGAACCAGAAGATATCGGTTTAGTTTCTCAAAGACAACTGCAAACTTAGTCTTTCAGTTCATGAGAGAAATAAAGGCAACTCTAAAAGACTCTGGTTTTGTTAGCAAAAGTCAGCATTTCTTAGAGGATAGACTTTTGTAAAGCCTCATGCTGAACATGCATAAAAGCACTCACTTTTTTAAAAAGCTGTTCAAAAGGGCTCAAGCATAAGCTTTTTCCCCTGCTTGGCCATAGTCTAGCTCCGCAACATCTCCAAGCTCCACGGACACCCCAAGTTTCCTTTGGGTACTGTAACGAAGACAGAGCATTCTACAAACAAAAGGCATCACTTCTATATAGGAGTTTCACTGGCAATGCATAGCTGTTTCAAAAAAATCAAAAGAAAAAAAACTTTACCTCCAACTAGGTTTGGACAACTGCAGTATTTGTTACTAGAAAGATAATGAAATACTTCACAGTATTTTCCTCCTCTTAGGAGACAGAGATTTTTACAAGTCTCCTATACACATCATTTTTCAAGCAAGGAGCTAGGTTTTGAATTAGCTATACAGAACTTGAGTACCTGTACTGAACGTAAATTCTCATAGAGCACTTCTGCAGATAACTGTGTTACAGATGGAAGGTCTAACAAGACCCTGTTTTTCCGTGTTAAAGTTACTAAGCAAATTCTTTCACTCCTTCACATGACAATGAGACTCACGACCACAGCTTGTTCAGTTTGAGCCACCCCTAAAAATTGAGCCTAGGTCCTCAGGTCATCCCTGTTCACCAGCTCTGGTGGACAAGCGTTTCTGCTATGTTTCTCTTACTGCTAGGTGAGTCAGCCTTGCCTGAACCACAGTCTGAGATGCATCTTTGAGAGACTGTGGGGGATACAGTTATTGCAGCAAGCCGGATACCCTATAAATATAGGCACAACGGGGTGGGGGAGGGGGGGGGAGACCGCGCTTCAGAGCTGCACGGACCTTGGTGCAGGGAACG